TTGTCCAGCGCCATGTGCCCACCATCCGGTGCCAACCCAGCGGGCACTGGGAGGAGCCTCGGATCACCTGCACGGACCGTGAGCATCACCCTCTGAGCACTAGCAGGGGTTGGGACTGGATTCGGCCAGCACTGCCTTCTCCCTATCCCTGGGAGGGGACAGCTGGGACTCACTATCTCCTGGGGATGCTACACCATCCTTCAGACTAAGCCAGGGTGGCAAAGTCAGTGAACTGTGACTATGATCTGTGATCTGTGACTTAGGGAAGGCCAGATGCCTGTCCCAGGAGAGAGCTCATATTCAGAGAGGGGAGGCGGCAGAAAACTGGTGGCCTGCTTTCCTTTTCAACAGCAGCCTGCGTGCTCGTAGCCCAAGGAGGCTCTGTACAGCTGAAGGCTGGCTTCCTGAGCCTCTGTTTTGCAGTGAGGGGTGCCAGCGGAGAGGGGCAGCGTGAGGAACACCTCAGCTCTGCCCCACTTCTTCCTGGCTCACCGATATTTCCCATCTTCCTTTCACCCCAGCCACCACCTTCAAGCGCAGACTACAGAAACGGAGCTCACGGCCCCCGAGGAAGAGCCACCCCAGCACGGCCCACTGAGAAGAGTTTCCAGGACGCGCCCAGGATGCTGAGCCCAGGAGCCTGGCAGGCAGACAGTGCATCCCATCCAGTTGGTGTCCTCTTGTCACTTTTTGTCATATAAGGAATCCCATTAAAGAAAAAAAAATGAATCCCACATTGTGTATGCACCCACCCCACCCCATCCCCAAGTCACCAAAACCTCATCTAATTTGTCCCCCAATGCCAAAGCAAAGCAAACTTACTGTAACCCATGGACTGAGTTTAGAGACATTTCTTCAATCTCCCGTTGTGCCTTTCCAGGGACCAGAGCAGGGACAGGGGGAGAGGGAAGGGGTTAAGTTAAATAAAGAAGATTATTTTTTGTTTCCTGACTTTATCCAAGAGCAGTAGAGTCGTTGGTTATTTCACCTCCAGGGAGAGCTAGGGAGGAGGGAGGAGGGGTCGGAAAGAGGTGGAAGGGGCAGAGGCCTGAAGGACTCAGACCGGACCGCAGCTGAATGTATTGGACAAAAGGAGCCAGGAGGGCTGCACCATCTGCGTGGGGTAGAAGCCTGGGGGTGAGGGTCCAGCTGACCCGGGGTCAGCGGGCAGGAGAGAGCCAGCAGAGGGATCTTCACAGCGTGGGGGTCGCCCTCCCTCCAGGGGTCCCTCTCCCAGTGTCCTCTCACCTGGGTCTGCCACCCTAGCAGGTGTCAATCTCTCGGCAGGGCTGGGTGGGGGCACTTCCTTCCAGAGGGAGTGCCACCCACCCCCTCACCCCACCCCACCCCCGGGACCGTGCAGGCACCAGGGTTCCGTGCACCTATTTATATTTTTGAAAACTAAAGATTATGATAATTATAATAATAAAGACATTGGAAGAGATCTATTTCTTTTCTTTTCCCTTTTTTCAATTTAAGGAGAAGGCAACCGCAATCTAAGGCCTGTTGAAGGCTCTCAGGAATGGTGACAATGGGGACATGTTTTGATCAAGTGACCCCACACTGTGTGACTCCTGTCTGTTCAGAGCCTGGGACAGTCATGTCTGGTGTGCTTTATGTTTTACTAGAGTGAAGCTGTGTTGGATGGATTCTACACATGTGTGGATAGGAATGTGGAGTGTGTGCCTGGGGGTGCCTGTCACATGCATGATGTGTCAATAGGTGGCACTGTGGGTGGACGAGCAAGTGGGCACTGTAAAAGAACAAGAGAAACATCTGGTCATCTTGCATAGTTTGATTCTTTGCTATCACACTGTGTTAGTAAACTAAATCTAAAAACAGGGAAACTCAGGATTTAACAAGAGGGAAGGAAAAAAACAAATGGCAGACAATCTAGGAACAATAAATCTTGCTTATACATTTTTGGGGCAAATGGGTCAGCTGACTGCTAGCAAAAAGATCAGCCAATGAAACTTCGGGAGTTATGGTGCACACCTGTAATCCCAGCCACACAAGGGGCTGAAGCAGGAGGATCACAAGTTCGAGGCCAGCAACTTTGTAAGACTCTGTCTCGAAATACAATTAAAAGGGGCTTGGGATAGAGCTTAATGGTAGAGCACATGCCTAGCATGCATAAGACCCTGGGTTCCACCCCCCAGTACCACAAAAAAAAAAAAATCAAATTAAAAGGACTGGGATATAGCTTGGTGGTAGAGCACCTTTGGGTTAATTCCCAGAACTGGGTAAAAAAAGACACCAACAAGAGCAATTTTTACTGTTTATTGTACCCCAAGAGTTGAGCTGGAATGTGCAGGCCAAACACTGAGTGACCTTCCAGTGCCCCCTCGGGACCTCTCCCTCATCAACATGCCTTCGAGGCTTTGTCTGGAATGTGTTTGTGTTGGAAGTGAATGCCAGTGTGAGTTTGTGTGCCATATATTTTCAGGTGTAGGGATGGGCATGGTTGAGCCTTTGCAGGTGATATATACATGTGTCCAGGTTACTTATAGCTCTGGAAAGAATGGGTGAGCAAAGAAGCGCATAGACACTAGTCAAATAGTAGGGACTCAATAATTATGTAACTGATGGATAAATTAACTGACTATGGATGCTTCTTATGAAGTTATATCCCCATAAACCCCATTATAAATTGAAAATATCCTAAATCAAAAATATATTTAGAGTCAGGAGGAGTGGCACACACCTGTGATCCCAGTGGCTTGGAGGCTGAGGCAGGAGGATAGCAAGTTCAAAGCCAGCCTCAGCAAAAGCAAGGCACTAAGCAACTCAGTGAGACCCTGTCTCTAAATAAAATACAAAGTAGGGCTAGGGATGTGGCTCAGTGGTTGAGTGCCTCTGAGTTCAATACCTGGTACCAAAAATATAATATATATTTATTTTATATATTTTTATGTAATATATATATATATATATATATATATATATATATATATATATCGAGAGAGGGAGAGAGAGGCTGGAGGTATAGCTCTTACTTAGCTTGCACGAGGCCCTGTGTTTGATCCCTAGCCCAATTTAAAAAAAGATAAATGAAATGCATTTTAATATATATATATTCTACCAAACATCAGAGCTTAGCAACATAGTACACAGTAGAGGATCTATTGTGTCTCTTTATGATTGAGTGAGTGACTGGAAGCCCTGGCTTGTTGCCACTGTCCAGCATTGTGAGAGAGAATTGCACCACATTTTGCTAGCCCAGGGAAAGATCAAAGTTAAAAATTCAAAATAGCAGCCAGGCACAGTAGTGGACACCTGTAATCCCAGTGACTTGGGAGGCTGAAGCAGGATGATCACAAGTTCAAGGTGTGACTCAGAAACTTTGCAAGACCCTCAGAAATTTTGTGAGACTCTGTCTCAAAATAAAAAATAAAAAAGGGCTGGGGATGTAGCTCAGTGATAAAGCACCCCTGGGTTCAATTCCCAATACCATACACATACAAAAAAAATTCAAAGTAAAGTTTCTGCTGAACATTTATTGCTTTCATGCCATCTACTACAGTTTGGATACTGAACATTCTCCAAAGGGCCATGTGTTGAGAAATTGGTCCCCAGGGTGGTGTTATTGAGAGGTGCTGGTAGACCTTTAGGAGGTGAGCCCTTCTGGGAGGTCCATCAGTCACTGGGAACAGGTCCCTGAATGGGTATTTTGGGACACTACCCTCTTGGTCTTTTATCTTTGCTTCCTTGCTGATAAGGTGAGCCTGTTTCTCTGCCATCCACACCTATCCTGATGTATTGCCTTATGCAAAGTCCAGAACAACAAGAGCCACTCAATCTTGGACTGGAACCTCCAAAACTATGAGCCAAAATAGACCTTTTCTCTTCACAAATTACTTATGACTGATATTTTATTATAGGAAAGTGACATTGACTAATACAACGAACGTTGTAAGGTCAAAAGATCATAAGTCAGCTGGACGCAGTGACACATGCCTAAAATCCCAGCAATTTGGGAGGCTAAGACAGAAGGACAAGTTCAGGGCCATCCTGGGCAACTTAGAGAGACCTTGTCTCAAAATAAAAAATTAGAAAGGTTGGGGTTGTAGCTCAGATTTAAAGCACCCTTGGGTTCAATGCCAAGTGCAAAAAAAAAATCGTAAGTCAAATTATCATATATCAGAGACTATCTGTAATTGGTAAAACAACCATCTATGCTAGTGGCTTTCAGAATCCCCTGGAGGATTTGTGATAACAAGGGGCCTAATCTCACCCCCAGAGTTTCTAACTCTGTAGGTATGGGGTAAGGCCCAGGAATTTGCATTTCTAATGCATTCTAAGTGCTGCTGCTGCTGCTGCAGCTGCTACTGGCCAGACTTTGAGTAGCACTGGGCTGGTGAAAAACTGATTGCATTACTGAGCGGTAAGTGGCAGGGCATGCCTGTGAGAGGCAACCAGAGTGCCTTCCTTTTCAGGGTGAGGCCCAGAGGATCAGGCCCAAGAGCCTAGCCTCTGAGGCCCTCTAGAGGACACAGCCTCTGAGAGGCACCTTCCTCTCTCTTGCTGGGCCTCACACAGACACACTACCAGGGACTGGGGGATGCAAGCCAGGGAGCCAGCTGCTGGGCCAGCACCAGAGGCAGAGCACAGCCTGGGGCAGCACATGGAGTTCTCTGCCCACCCCAGGTGCGCTGACCCTGCCACCTGTGAAGCATGGCCCAGAACCGAACCTACCACATCCACCAGGCTAGGAGCTGAGCCCTGAGACTGGATGAGACAGAGAGCCAGGCACAGTTGCAGGTTGGGGACAAAGGAAGGGGTCATAGCACCATTTATCGTTCAAAGAAGGTACACACACCTGAAGGCAGTTCTCCACACAGGGAAAATGAAAAGGAAACAGAGTGGAGATGAGAAGGGGAGAGGACTTCTCTCCCTACCTTCAGATCTCAAGGAGAAGCCTAGGAAGCCACTCCAGAAATAAAAAGGACCCCCCCCCCCACCAACTCCTCTTCCTTCCCAGACTGAGACAGAGGGAGAGTAGCAGCCACCATGCCTTGACCCCTTGTGGCCAGGTCACTGCCCACTTGGGTATCAGCCTCCTCTGAGGAAGGACACAGGCTGGACTCAGGGATAGCAGAGAGCCCTCTAAAAGGCTCACAAACCTCAAATGTTTGTGACGGGGAGTGCCTCCAGGTGTCCAGGGGAGCTGGTACTTGGATGCTGCTGGATTTACAAAAAAATAATGATACTTTTTAAAAATGTTTAAGTTGAGAAATATAAAAACAATACTAAAATTGCCCTGACCCATTAGGAGAATTGAACCACTCAATAAATACACAGCCCCTGGGGGAAGGAGGCTGGGTGCAAAGCTGGCCGCCCAGATCCTAGCGGGGGCGGTAGCAGTAGACGCCATCCAGGCGGCTCTGAGGGTCTGGGAAGCCGAAGCTCCGGACTCCAGGCTCTGGGGGCCCGCAGTTGGGACGGGGGTGAGCCACAGGGTAACGGGCACTGCCATCTGCCAGCCAGCCGGCATCACAGCGGTCCAGGCCACGGAACTTCCAGGCAGCAAAGAGCTGGCCCACCTTGGCAATCTGGGCACCATCTTCCTGGCAGGTCTCCCGGGCCTCCTTCAGTGTCAGCTTCTCCGGGTGCTCCAGGTAGTACACCCGCCCTGGGGGAAGGTGGGGCATTAGTGTTGGGCAGCTGAGACAGTGGCCAATGAGGACATCAGGGCCTGTCCCAAGAACCTGACAACTGTCCAAGCCCAGGGGACCATGATGCTGTGGACATGTGCAGTGGACATTTTGGGAAGTGTAACTTCCCACACCTCAGCACCTGAGAGTCCCACTCTACTTGCCGTAGGGCTGGGTCCCTCTGGTTATGTCTGTACTCCCCTGCCACCCTTCCCTGATTGTACCCCCAAGTGGGCACCCCACCTGGGCTGGACCAGGAGTCTCTCACCCAGTCATTTACTGAGCACCTGCTGTGTGCAAGACATTTCTCTAAGTGCCTAGGATATAGCACTGAACCAATTCCTGTTTTCACTTATCTTCTGATGAAACAGGCCATTTTACGAGGACAGATGTGTTTCCTTTGTCTATGATGCCCCTGAGCCTCATCTAGGCCCCAGCACTAGAAAATGCTCGATGAGAATAAACCAATGTTTGCACGAAGCAAAAGCAGCAAAACACTCAAAATCCCACCAGTATTGCTTCCAGATCTGCTGGGGCTCTAGAGCTCTAGGTGGAAGTGTCAGCAGGATGGGCAGAAGGGTCCAGAAGCTCCCCGCAGGTCCCAGGTGCCCATCAACCCACAGGCCTGTGCTTGGCCACTCCACTCACCCTTGAGGGCAGCAGCAAAGCAGAAAACATCGTAGCGATGCAGGCGGTGGTGGCGTGGGCCATAGCTGCGCACACCAGGCGCCAGGTCCAGGCCACCACAGGGCTCTCGGGGCAGCGTGATGGGGTACTGCACTGTGGCGTCCTGCAGCCAGCCTGCGTTGCACCAGTCCAGGCCTTCCTCCCAGGCCCGGAAGAGCTGCTCAAAGGAGGCCACTGCTGCATCCTGCTCCTCACAGGCCTGCTGGGCCTCCTGGAAGTTGAGCTGGTAGCGCCCCTGAGGGGGCTGGTAGGGAAAGACCACGCCTGGAGAGGGAGGAAAGGAGCTTGGAGGGGTGGGCTGCACGCTCAGCTCTTCCTCCTCCACTGGGACACACGACCCTCCCACACACACCCACACGGTCACTCAGAAAGCTCAGCAAACCTCCATCTCCTACCCACTGCCCACGTCCAGGCAGAGCCTATGAGTGGCATTCAGGAAACATGCCTTGGCTTGTGAAGGTGATTAACAGCCCAATGTCTCCAAATTTAAAATGGGAATACTGCCTTACTTATGGGGCTATTGAGAGAACCTCAGTGAGGAGATGCTATCATGTACAAAATGGGCACTGGCTTTGGACTCCAGAGGCTGGATTTGGCTCCCAACATCCCTCCCAATAGCTAAGACCTAATCACACAGGCTTTCCTCAGTGTCCAGAGGGATCGGTTCCAGGGACCCCCCCCTCAAATACCCAAATCCAAGGATGTTCAAATCCCCTATATAAAATTATATAGCATTGCCAGGCATGGTGGTGCATGCCAATAATCCAGATACTCCAGAGGCTGAGGCAGGAGGATCACAAGTTCAAGGCCAGGCTGGGCAATTTAGCAAGACCCTGGCTCAAAAATAAAAATAATTAAAAGGGCAGGGGCTGAGACTCAGTAGTAGATGCCCCTGGGTTCCAACCCCAGCACTGAAAAAGGAAAAAAAAAAAAGCATAGTATTTGCATAGAACCTATATACATCTTCCTGTATACTTTAAATCATCTCTAGATTATTTATGATGCCTTAATACAAAGCCTACACATCACTTCATTCTTATGGATTTAGCATAGTACTTGGCATGCAGCAAACTTTAGTTTTGCTTTTTTTGGAACTTTCTGGAATTCTTTTTTCCAAATAATTTTTGAGCTGTGAGTTGGTTGAATTTGCAGATGAAGGGCCCACAGTTACAGAGGACTGACTGTATATGTCATTATGAATATGGAAGTTTCTTAGGAAAATATAAGAAATTTTCCACATATGACAGATGGTTTTTAGGGGAAGGAGAGGCCTAGAAGCTATGGGAAGAGGATAGTGAAGGGCCCTTAAATAAAGGAGGCTTGAAGTCAGGAAAGGCTTGGGGCATGGGCCCTCTCTCTTGGTAGTCAGGGTACAATGGGGGCCACAAAGTCCCCTCAAAATTTGTCATGCATGTTTGAAATTTTACTATAGTAAGTTTTTTAAGCATTGGAAATTCAGTTCCTAGCAAGTTGGATGAAATCTTAAGAAGTAGGAGTGACTCTAAGGGTTCAGAAGGGGACCCTGCTGGGCTTACATTGTTTATGAGCAGGGCCCTAAGTAGGAACTCCTCCCTGTAGCCTAGGACATGGAATATACCAAGCACCAAACCCAGTCTTGCTGGGAAACCGGCACCTGGGCAAAGCCAGTCTAAGAGGGCACAGAAGCCCAAGGGAGCTGGTCGTGGTGGTACACACCTGTAATTCCAGCAAATCGAGAGGCTGAAGCAGGAGGATGGCAAGTTTGAGGCCAGTCTTGACAATTTAGTAAAACCCTGTCTTGATAAAATTTTTAAAAAGGGAAGTTGAGGGAAGAAATTGGGGGTGGGTTGTAGCTCAATGACAGAGTACCAGTGGATACAATTCCTAGTACCCCCCCCAAAAAAATAGAGAGAGAGAGAAGACCACAGGCCCAACAATCACATCCTCAACCTTCCTGTATGCTCACAGGCGGATTATTGTGCGCCTGGTATCATCTCAAATTCCTAGCCCTGGGTGAGGATTCCCTGCCTCTGTAGGCTGCTTCTGCCAACCCAGACAAATGAATCCTGCAGGCTCTCTCCCTTCCCTCCACCATATCTAAATCCAAAATGAGCAATGTGGCCTCTCTCAGGCACCATCTAAGCCACAGGGACTTCAGAGTTGGAGTGCTGCAAAGACGAAGCCAAGTTTCCAGGATGTGCATTTATTCTCCTGGCCTCTGAGGCAGGTAATGGAGGAACTACTGTTGTCCCCCTTCACACCTCTCAGAGCAGCCCAGAGCTCTGAGAGGCTGAGGCATTCCCAGGGGTCACAGCAGAGATGGACCAGATGGAGTCCAAAAATCTTCCTCCCTCCCAGCTGCCTCCCTAACAGAGCAGACAGACATCAGGACTCCCAGCCTCATCCCAGAGACAGAGGAGGTGAAAGGAACTTAGATCTCAAACTGGGGCCCACAAACAAAATCTGGCTTGCAGGGTCTTGACTAGTTTTGACAGCCCTGGGTCTTTTCCAGAAAATAGGAGACTTTTGTGGAGCACGGTGGCACACACCTATAATCCCGGTGACTTGGGAGCCTAAGACAGGAGGATCACAAGTTCAAGACCAACCTGGGCAATTTAGCAAGAATCTGTCTCAAAATAAAAAACAAAAAGGGCTGGGAATGTGGTTCAGTGGTCGAGCAACCTTGGGTTCAATATGTAGTTCTACAAAAAATTAAAAAGATTAATTAATTAAAATTAAAATAGGAGCTGAGTGCAATGACATACACCTGTAACCCCAGCTGCTCAGGAGACTGAGGCAGGAGGCTTGAAAGTTCAAAGGCAGCCTCAGCCATTTAGCAAGGCCATGAGCAACTTAGTGAGACCTTGTCTCAGAATAAAAAATATAAAAAGGGCTAGAGATGTGGCTCAGTGTTTAAGTGTCCCTAGGTTCAAACCCCATATATATATTTTTTAATATGTATATATATATATATATATATATATATATATATTTAAAAAGGAGATTGTTACATAAAAAGACAACCCTTTCACATAAAAAGATAAGCTCTCATCAAATTAGGAAATCTGATTGCACCGGGCCTGTATTCTGCCATGGCATCATCAGCTGGGCCTGAGCAGAGTGGCCCCTCTGGATGGGACAGGGCTCAGCCCCTGCCGCTCCCTCTCATTGCATGCTAGGCCTGCTACATTCTTTCATTGCCTGCGAACCCTGCTCAAATCTCAGCTCTGGCTCTAATGAGCTATAAGACTGGCTCCCACTGTCCTCTCTCTGAACGGGACATGAGTGAGAGAGAACAGAAGGCAGTAGATGCTGGAGACTGCTGCCGGGGTCCAAATGCCAGCTTTGCCATTTTTTTTTAAAATATTTATTTTATTTATTTATTTTCAATTGTAGGTGAACACAATATCTTTACTTCATTTTTATGTGGTGCTGAGGATCGAACCCAGGACCTCACGTGTGCTAGGCAAGCATTCTACCACTAAGCCACAACCCCAGCCCCCAGCTTTGCCATTTATGAGCTGGGTAACCTCAGGTAAGTTACTTGGCCTCTTTGGGTTTCCTCATCTGTAAAATGAGGGTAGTAATAACAGTAGCCTCCTTATGAGGATATGATTTTCTACATAAAGCACAAACATCCGGATGCTCTCTCAGGGGCCTCTCCCCTCCCTTAGGTCCCAGCATCACCCAGTCCCAGTCGGGGCCTCACCCCGCAGCTCCAGCTCCACCAGGCCGCTCTCGTCCTCTAGCCCATCAATGACCTCACAGCGGTAGCGCCCATAGTCTTCCAGCCGCAGATCCCAGAGCTCCAGTGAGACTTCACGCTCCTTGTCCTGCCGCAGGTGCGCACGGCCTTGGTAGTCCCCAAAGGAGCGGTGCCTCTTGCCTATGGCCACCAGCACATCCTGCTCTGGGGCCCCGTTCTCTGACAGCTTCCACCACTTGATGCGCACGGGCCTTGGGGAGGCCAGCGCTGGCTCATAGTGGTAGTGGCAGGGCAGGGTCACGGTAGCCCCCCGGTGGGTGAACAGCGTCTCCTCGGGCGTCTCTACGACCAACTTCACTCCATTGAAAAGGCCTATGGGGAGAGGTAGGGGACAGATAGGGATAGCTGCAGCACATCTCCAACTCCCTTCAGGGTCAATGGTTATGAGTGAAAAAATGGTCTCCCTGCTCCACCCATCTCTGTCCACCCACCTTGCAGTGTGCCTGTGCATCTCCTGCCATCAAGAGGTGATATCTATTCCCCTGTCCCTGGAATGTGTACTGGCCTTGCCACTGGATTTAACCAAATGGACATGGCGGGTATGACTGTCCCATAGTGTCTGCTCTGAGCCTCAGTTCCAGGAGATCTGGCTTCTCTTGGGTTCTCATGAGCATCAAGCCGAGGCTTACCTACTGAGCATGAAAGACTACCTGGAACAGAAGCAAGCCTCCCCAGCTGGGGCCACCCTAAATCAACCAGCCCCCAGCCTGTCAGCACCCTGCGGGTGCATCTGCAAGTCTCAAGTGCAAGGCCAGAAGAAAGGGAGCCCCCCGTCAAATGCTGACCCACAGGTAGCTGAATAAATGGCTCTTGTCTTAAGCCACTAAGTTTTGGGGTAGTTTGTTACACATCAAAAGTTAACTGATGAGCCAGATGCACACCTGGAATCCCAGTTATTTGGGAGGCTAAGACAGGAAGATTACAAGTTTAAGACCAGCTTGAGCAACTTAGTGACACCCTGTCTCAAAATAAAATAAAAAGGGCTGGGAGCTGGGGATGTAGCTCAGTGGTTAAGCACCCCCAGATTCAATACTCAGTACCAAAAAAAAAAAAAAAAAGAGAGTGCAATCTGTATATGGGGTAAAAATGGGAGCTCATAACCCACTTGAATCAAAGTGTGAAATATGATATATCAAGAACTATGTAATGTTTTGAACAGCCAACAATAAAAAATTAAAAAAAAAAGAAGTCTTCTGCCCAAGGCCAGCCAGTAAGAAGCAGAATTAAGATTCAAACTCACATCTATATGACCCCAAGCCCTCTTTTCACTGGGGAGCCCAGAAGAGATCTCATTTCAGCCTGATCGTGAAGAACTGGCAGGAGTTTGGGGAAAGTGCAAAACAAGCAAAGTGATCATCCCTAAGTGAGTATGGCCTCATGTCCAAGGAGACAGCAAACAGTAACTAAACCATCTCTTCCTCTTGTCTAAGAAGCAAGGCTGGTCCACCCCAAAAGCCAAGATGGGGAAGAAACTACTGAGTCATACCCTGTCCCCCATCCCAGCCTGGAACCTGCATAGCACAGCAGGAACCAGGATCCGGCCCAGGAGGCCACCCACCTTCGCCATAGCCATTGCCTGGATTCCTGCCATTGGGGCTGTTGGAATAGTAGAAGCCGTTATAGAAGGGCAGTCCAGAAACGCAGGGCAGCAGGAACAGCAAGACCAGGACCCATGGTGCTGCAGCGCAGCACCCACAGCAGCAGCTCCGGTGCATCCTGGGCCAGGCTGGGGCCCTGGGGCAAACTGGGAGGAGGAGGGGGGGAAAGCCAATTAGAGATCCCCACTGCAGTGCCCTGGGATCCCTCTGTTCGACCTGCACTCAATCACCTCTCTATAGTTCATTATGAAGCATCTTCCAGCGCCAGGCTTGGTGCTCGGAAAAGCTAGAGGAATCTCTGCTCTCCGCAGGCAGGAGGGGCAATAGCAAACAAATAAACCCTCAGAGGAATTAGCAGGCAACAAAAAGAGCATGGAAAAAATTAAGCCAGATGATGTGACACTATCAATATTTCTCAAATCACAGGTTTGAATTTAAGAAGTCATAAGCAATTATTTTATTTTATTTTGCTTTATTTATTTATTTTATATTTTATTTTATTTTATTTTATTTGACATTGGGAATTGAACCCAGGGGCACTTTACCACTGAGCTACATTCTCAGTCTTTTTTATATTTTAGTTTGAGATGGGGTCTTACTAAATTGCCAAGGCTGGCCTTGAACTTGTGATCCTCCTGTCTCAGCCTCCTGAGCAGCATATTTTAATGAAACCAAACTGACTAGACTAGAATAAAAAATAGCAAAGTGCATTTCATGCTTAGTGAAAATAAATCCTGCAACAAGAAACTTTTGTTTCAGTCCAATGTCTGGGGGTCTGGAGTTGTAGGGGTCACAATGTGAAATTTATTTCTTACCCTAAGTCAAGGTTAAAAAGAAGTTTTTTAAACATCACACTAGAGCATTATTCCTGTTTAGGTGGATATTCAAATAAAATAGGCAGCTGGCCCATGAGCTGTAGTTTGTTGATTTGATTTTTTAAAAATATCGCATTAAGCTGGGCTCAGTGACACATGCCTATAATCCCAGCAGCTTGGGAGGCTGAGGCAGGAGGATCAAAAGTTCAAAGCCAGCCTCAAAAAAAGCAAGGCAATAAGCAACTCAGTGAGACCCTGTCTCTACATAAGAATACATAATATGGCTGGGGATGCGGCTCAGGGGTTGAGTGCCTCTGAGTTCAATCCCAGGTACCCCCCCAAAAAAAATTGCTCTAAAATATCCTGCCTTGATTGCAAAATTTTTGGCAAACACACACACTTCCCTACTTCAAGTCTGCACCCAAGACTAGTGCTTCCTCAGCTTACCCTTGCCTTTAATGAGCGTTCTCAACAATTAAAAGACTGAAGGAGCTCAGTCCAGGGAGCATTGAACCGAGATTAAAGATAGGAATTTTCAAGGTGGAAAAAGACAGACTGATTTTTCTTGCAGAGACACAGCCACTGCAAAGGTGCAGAGGCTAGGGACAACACCTGTGGAATAGGAGTGTGCTAGGGGATCTCCATTTGTGTCCTCCCCCCACGCACTCCCAGGTCCACTCTCTGCCCTTCTGTGCCATGCATTGATCCCTGTGGATCATTCCACCGGGGCCCACTGGCCTCTGGCCTCCAGCTGGATTCAGTCAATGGGAAACACAGGAGATGGGTAGAGGGAAGAGAGAGAAGCAGCATTTCCTCCCTGCTCCCTCCCCGCTCCAGTGGCTCCACCATAGTGTCTTCTGCTGCTTGTCCTCATTTGATCCCTACCTTCATTAAAGTCTCTTTGTCAGAACCATCTGGAACAAATTCCATTTTCTGCCAAGACTCTAACTGGTATAGGGGTTAAGATACAAGAAGGTCAACAGGGTCTGTGCCTAGATGCCCTAATGTCCTGGGGTGCCAAGATGGCTTTAAGCAGAGGAGCAAAAGGATCAGACTTACATTGTAGAAACATCCACTGGAGGCAAGTCGAAGGTGGACTGTGGGACAGCAAGACCAGAGTGACAGCAGGCATTTGTAAATATAACTATGATTATCCTGTAGCAACACAGAAGAATGCTGAGGGTGTCATTTAAAACAGAAAAAGCAGAACATACAATTGCCATCTGGCTATGATTGCAAGTGTGTGGTCTCATGAATGCCTATGCACAGGAACCAGAAGGGGAAGAAACCCTAAAAAGAAAATGAGAGAGAAGGGAGGGAAGGAGGGAGGAAGGGGAGAAGAAAGGAAAGGAAAAACAAAGCAAAGCATTGGTCTATGAAGTTGACCAGACTTGGAGGAAATACTCTTGTTTTCAGAAGAGTCAGGAGCAGTTGCTGAAGAGGCTTGGACGTGGAAGAAGATGAGCAATATATCATGCCATTCTTTTAGACAGCTTGGCAGAAATGAGGCCCAGATTTGCCATCTGTGCTGTGCCCTGCAGCAGGAACACTGTCCCCTCTGAGGATTCAACTCTTGTTCAAGAGGAATTGCCCTAGCCAGGTGCAGTGGTGCACACCTGTGATCCCAGCAGCTCGGGAGGCTGAGGCAGGAGAGTCATGAGCTCAAAGCCAGCCTCAGCAACTTAGCAAAGCCCCAAGTAACTCAGGGAGACCCTGTCTCTATATAAAATATTAAAAAAGAGTGGGGATGTGGCTCCGTGGTTAAGCGCCTCTGTATTCAATTCCAATACAGAGAGAGAGAGAGAGGAATTGCCCTGCTGAATTCCAGTAAGTCCCTGCACAGCATAACCACATCAGGCAACTTGGGATGGAGTTTGTGAACTAGAAGATCCAGGGTCAAAACCCACCTCCACTTCAGTAGTCCCTCAGTAATGGTGGGGGATTGGTTCTTGGACCCCTGAAGATACCAAAAACCACAGATACTGAAGTCCTTTACTTCATCTGCCACAGTATTTGCATAGAACCTACACACATCCCTGTACTTCAAATTATCTCTAGATAATTTATAATACCTACTACAATGTAAATGCTATGGAAGTAGTTGTTTACTGAATAGCAACAAAAAAGTTTGTATATATTCAATGCAGATAAAAAATTTTCCTGATAATTTCCATTAGTCATTGGTTGAATGTGTACAGAGTTGACTGTACTTAGTATTAGCTATGTGGTTCTAAACAGGCTTCCCCAGTTGTGACATGGAGGTCATAAACCTGCCCCCTGGCACATTTCTCATTAGTATGTTCTGGTTTTCTGTTATGGAATTCTAGAGAGATACATGACCACTCAGCTAAAGGCTGTATTTCTGGTCTTCCTTGAAGCTAAGAGGGCTGGGTTAGTTAGTTTTGCATCACTATGACCAAAATGCCTGACAAGAACAACTTAGAAAAGGGAAAGTTTATTTGGGCTAATGGTTTCAGAGGTTTCGTTCATGGTCCACTGAGTACGTTGCACCAGCAGCACGCTGAGGCAGAATGTTGTGCAGAAGAGCAAAGGAACATTCCAGGTGGCTAGGAAGCAGAGACAGAGTGAGAGGCAAAGAGGCTGCAGCAAGATGCACTCTCCCAGGGCAGCCCCCAGGAACCCAGCTCCTCCAGCCACACCCCACCTGCCCACAGTTACCACCCAGTCAGTGCATGCAGAGTATGATAGACTGATTAGGTTACAGCTCTCACCATCTAATCATTTCAACCTCTGAATGTTCCTGCACTCACACAGGAGCTTTGGGGGAGACACCTCATATCCAAATCATACCAAAAGCCAGGTAACTCATTTCTGGCCAATGGCAGCCAGCAGAAATAACATGCTCCAGGTCCAGGTCACACAGTTAAGCCTACTGAGGACACCTTTTGCAGGTATTCTTTCCCCTAATCTGCTAGCCACCAAAATAGAAAAATTTAGACTCAGAGATGGGAACCACAGATTGACTGGCAGGGCTGTCATCAGCCTAGACCACATCCACCTCATTGTACCCTGAGCAAATCCTATTGTATTAAACCAGCACATTTTGCAGCTACTGGGGAACACAGTTTAGCCTCTCTTGGCCAAACAAATCCACTTCACAGCATTCTTAGCATCAGCATTAAGCATGAATAGCCAGGCTAGGAATGTAGTTCTTGCCTAGCATTAGTGAGGCCCTGAGTTTGATCCCCAATACTGCAAAAAAAGTAAAAACAGCCAACTTCAATGAGCATTAATATATCCCTGAATCCTCATCCCAACCCCTAGAGCTGGGGCCTATTTGTATCCCCACGTTACAGATGGGAAAACCAAGATGTACAGAAATCAAGTCTGGTGAGTGAGATTAAGCCAAAGGTCAACCATCTAGAAAATGGTAGAGCTAGAATTTTAATCTATACCAGCTCCAAAGTCTACAACCATCAGGCCAAATTCAGGGAGGTAATTGTGTGGAGTACACAGCCCAGGACCTAGCACAGAGTAGACCCTCCTTAAAGTCAATTTCCTTTCCCTCCTTGAGCCTTCACTTGGGGAACTGAGAGGGAAGCAGAGCAATGACTGAGAGGATTGTGAGTGTTGATCTGGATGTCCCAGGGATCACCCAGTTCCTGGGCACCTAGAGCCTTCCAAACAGAAGGGCTCCCTGCTTCTGCCTGCAACACTTCCAGCCTGTTAGAACAGCTCATCCAGCACCAATGCTGCCCAGCTAGAAGGGCCTTCCTGAGCATGAACAAGTGAGGTGTTTCTGCCACAGAGTGACATTTGTATACCTGAAAAAAAATTGCATTTTTGAAAAATCATGCCTCAAAAAATGTTAGACAAAAAAACAAAGTCAGTGCAGACTACTCAGAACTCTGTCATCAGAGTATCAGAGTGCTAACCAAGACAAGAGCAACCCAGGGAAAAAAACAGCACCTTCAATTTTCTACTGATATATGCCCACAGGTGCTGCTCTGCCACCCTTGGCAGCCTTCACCCCTGAAGTGAGTGCTGCCTTCTTCAAGATGTAGGTCCTGGAGGCATTTGATTCCAGTGGGAACCAGATTTGCCAGTATTAAAAGTCTGACCCAGGGCTGGGGGCGTAGCCCAGTGACAGAGTACTTGCCCAGCATGTGACAGTAGCTGAGCTCCCCTGTTAGACCCCCAGCACTGCAAAAATATTAAGACAAAGTGTGACCCAGAATGAAATCATTTTCAATCTGTTTTGTCTTTTAACTTAGGGATACATTTAGGCAATTTCTTCATTGGATTTTTAATTTTATTTTAAAAAGAAGAAATATGGTGTTAAGTTCTGTTAAGCAGCTAAACCACAGGTATTCCTTCCTCACCAAATTTATGTCCCCCCACCTCTAATTTTCTGCAGTACTGGAGATCAAACCTAGGACCTCACTCAACTAAGTGCTCTACCATTGAGTCACACCCCCAGCCCTTATTGCATCCTTGAGTTGGGATGACAACAGTTCGGGATATTGAGATTTTTGAGAATTCATGTTGGAAGAGATGCCACATCATCCAGATCTATTTGGTCCCTGAATCTTGGAGAGTGATCAGCAAATTTGGATGGCAAGGGAAATCTGTATGTATACTAAAGAAAGGCACTTTCTGGATGGAAGGCAATGTGGCTGCTACGTCTGTCACCCCAATGATCACCAGGATTGATTCAACTGATCTGGCTGGCTAGGTGGATGTTCCCTTCCTCCCTCACTACTCCATGTGTGTTCCTCCTGAAGCTTCCAGCTTAGTCAAAGGACAACCTTCCCTGATAAAGAAGAATCATTCTTCAAGTGTACATAGTAGCTGAGCTCCCCTGCTAGAACCTCCAAACAAAGACACTTCCTAGCTGGGGGCAATGGTGCACACCTGTAATCCCAGCAACTCAGGAGGTTGAGGCAGGAGGATCACAAGTTCAGTGCCAGCCTCAGCTACTTAGGGAGACCCTAAGCAACTCAGAGAGACGCTGTCTCAAAATAAAAACGGATGAGGATGTGGCTCAGTGGTTAAGCACCCCTGGATTCAATCCCTGGTGGGTACAAATAAAGAAAGAAAGAAAGGTAGGCACTTTCTGCAGAACTGTGAGCCTTTATTATAAGGAATCCATACATTGAATTGCTCTTTAAAGGTCAGAAATCTCCAAACATTCATGGGTTGGTAAAAGTCTCTCCTGAACCAATGCAATTCTATGTTAAATGCATATTGTTCCCTCATCATTCTTACAATCAAGGAGGAGGTAAACCACAGTTCAGAAACATGCACTAAGGCAGAACAGACAGAACCCCTGGGTTCTCTGCAAGATCTGCCCTCTGGAGCTGCAAAGTGTGAGTCCCCAAGGCACTCTTCCCATCCCCAGAGACCCAAGTACCTGGGATTAGAGGCACACACAGCAATGCCCAACACACACACACACACAAATTTCTGGTTGGTATTGTCATGACCCCTATTATGCCAAAGAAGAAGAGGTACTCTGGAGGCTGAGGCAGAAAGATCTCAAATTTGAGGCCAACCTCAGCAACTAACAGAGATCTTGTCTCAAATTTTTAAAAAGGGGAAGTGGAATACTGGGGATTTAGTTCAGTAGTGGAGCACTTGCCTAGCTAGCATGCATGAAGTCCTGGGTTCAATCCCCAGTACTGCAAAATAATAATAAAGCTGAAGGAAGACAGTGTCTACAGAGCATAGAATACTACCGGTTTGGGGCAAGCACTCAACAATATTAGCTAGTATTACTGTTGTTATCATAAGTGTACAAAATCAAAACTCACATTATCTCAGTGAGCTAAAAGAAAAGCCATCACCATTGCCTTCTCTTTTCATCTGGGGAAACTGAGGCCAAGTCCAAGCTTTATTTTTGGCAAATATCTTGGACTTGCTTTTCCCAGGCTCCACTTGCCTAAAGCCCCCACACGTTAGAGCAATAAACTGAGCCCTGTTGGGGGTAGGGGGTTCACCTCCCCACCAGATTCACACCCTCAGTGGGCCACCCATGAATATAAGTCCCCCAGATACCAGCAGAGGGCAGCATTGCCCCCAGTTCTCCACCGGCCCCACTGCCCGTGAGGAATTTGACTTCGAGGTTCCAGGGAAGACAAGGCTTTACAAGAGCCTTTGAACCCGCAGCCCAGAAAGTGCGAGCCCCGGGTATTTGTACCAGCATTCCTGGCCCTCTCACCAGTTCAGGGATGTGGGAGGAGCTGGGGAGCCTGATGCAGAAAGCAGAGGCACTCCCGAGAGTCGAGGGTCGGCGGGATCACAGGCTGCCCACGACCACCCAGCGAGCTGGTGGCAGGCAAGGGTCCAAATGTCCCGCACTCCTTCCTTCCCAGTCTAAATTCCTCCCTGAGCGAAGCCATCTCCCACCCAGGGCTCTGCCTCCCACCCTCCTTGCCTCTTCTGGTGCTGCTATCCAGGAACCCACGGATATCCATACCCCCTTCCCCGAGGTGGCCAGAACCGGCGGCCGAGAGAGGGAGCGGCTCAACTCCGCCCGTGCACCTCACAGGCTATCCCCAGCCCCTTCCAAGTTCCCGTGGCCCCGCAGCATCCAGCGGATGGATGCCCAAAGCACAGCCTGGCGCGGTGCACTGTGCTGGACGCAGCAGGACCTGGACAGGACAAGACCGGAAGGGACCGGCACCGGGCTGGGGTCTCAGAGGCCACCCAGTTGGCTCCCGCTTTCCTCCTCCTGGTGCGCTCTCGCTGTCCGCACCCCACTTGCGCCCACGGCGTCTCCCGCGGGCGACCGCAACCCAGTTCAGCCCGGGCCCCTTAGTACCCAGCCTCCTGGGGGTCCGGCAGGAGAGCCAAAGCGAGAGGAGTGGAACCTGCCCGCACTGGACCCCTAGGGACCTAGCAATCTCTGAGCCACGTACCGTCCCCAGCACGCTCTTCCAAGACCCAAGCGCTAGGGCCGCTGGCTGTGTGGGTCCCAAGCAACAGACGGATTTAGGGACCTTCAATGGCCCGAAAGGAAGCGGCAGCCGACAAACCTCCGCGCTCCTGCCGGGCCAGCCCCTTAAAGGAACACACCCTCCTTTCCCTCTAAGGCTGGGCCCCAAGGGAGGAGTTGTTACAGATGCGTGCAGCCTCCAGACGTGCTGGGGACCACCCCCAAACAGGAGCTGTTGGCTGAGCTGTGGAGTGCAGGCTCTCATCTCGGGGAAGGAGATGAGAGGGAGATGGAAGAGGAGCTGCGGGAGGCGCACATCCCATTAGAACACCTAGTTTACCCAAAAACAGTGGGACTAAGCAGGGAAAGCCCCTCTCTAGCACTCTGCGGGTGGGCTATGGCTTCCTCCCACAGAGGGAGGAAAGAGGGAGGAATTACAGTTCTCTATGCCTACTCCCCATAGAAATCAAGGGATGCTGACATCCTCCTGCCCGAGTTTGACCATGATGGCCAGACAGGATGTCAAAGTCAGCACAAGGTAGTTGCTGCCCCTAGTAGGTGGGGCTTGAATGAGTGGCCCAGGGCTTGAATGAGTGGCCCAGGGGAGCGGGGCTGGAGAGACAGGCTGGGGTGCCAGCAACATGGGCCACCAGGCTTCTGACTGGTCCTTAACAGAGGAGGGGAACTCCCTTAGGATTCTGGCATCTGTCTGCACAGCTATCAGGCAGCCCCTCTCAGGATGCCTCTGTTTGGACAGGTTGTTTTCTTTCCTGTCTAATGGGGGCCCTGGCCTGGCAGGCCTTATTTCCTCAGCACAGAAACCCAAGGAGGTCCTTCAGCTTCAGCTGGGAGTATCACAGAGCCCTGACACTCTTCCTAAACACACCTCCAAACAGCCCACACCTTTGCCACACACAGTCAGGAGCAAATCAGAGCATGAAGAACTGCAGTGGGCTAGAGGGTAAACAGCACTGCAAGAGACACCAGGTTTATCAAAGGAGCCCATGAAGAATTGTCTGCAGGGAAGAGTGACGGGTCTGATCACTGTGCAGGATGGATCAGAGAGAATATAAAAAGGACCCAAGTATGAACTAGGAAACTCCCAAAAGCCTCTCTGATAATGGTGGCCAACATTTTCAGTCCTCTGATGGGCCAGACTAGGCACTGGTGCTTCTGAGCATTTGGTCTTTTAGTCCCCACAGGCCATGGAGCTGGTCTTAGTATTTCCATTTTACAGATGAACTCAAATCCAAAGAGGTTGAGCACATAACCCAAGGTGACCCAGAGCCAGGGTTTGAGCCCAGGTTGTCTGACTTAAGACTTACTAAGTTCCACCATCACCACATTTAAACCAGGAACCCTAGACCCTTGGGAGAAACAGAGCAAACAAATCCCAGCACCAACAGCCACAGGTGTAGGGAGAGGTGTGGACAGCAAAAGGGTCAGTTTTGTTACACAAAGGTAAGTTTAACATGCCAGCTAGGGGTGGGGTGGCCAGCAGGTGAAATGCAGCACTACAGTCAGGAAGAAAACAGTGGGGTTTTTTTACCCCCCATGCCAGGGTCTCATGCTCACTAGGCAAGTGCTCTACCACTGAGCTGAAAAAGAAAATTTGTGGAGGCCATGGTAAAAGCCCTAAAAGTGGAGGAAACTGCTCAGAGAAAGGACCCCAAGTGATGGGACTTCAGTCTAGAGACTTTCAGAAAGCTGTAGCCAACCCATCCAAGGCTACAAAGATGAGAAGAAGGAGCTAAGAGGTGACTTAGGCAATTCCAGCCAGAGTCAGATGGGCACCTGTGACCACTGTCCACCAACCACCCATGGAGAATGACCCCCAGAAAATCCTCAATCTGGCTAATATGGGCCAGTTGACAGATGGAAGTGAAGCTCAGTGTCCCCACTGCGAAGACTCTGGATCTGGCAGGGTTCAAGCTACATTAATTACTAGCAGGCAGAACCATCCCCAGCAGATGTGATGGGGAAAATGTTTCTCCTACCATAGGTGGTCCTCAGAGGAGGCCAGAACAGGGGACAGGGTCAGGACATGCTCCCAGGAGCACGTCCAGAGGCCAGCAAACCCCAGAAAGAATTGACCCCAAGCCTAATCCACACAGGTCCACAGAAAGCTGGAAACAGGAGGGAACCAGATACCTCTGGGGTGAGCATCCTGCATCCCCAGCTCCAGGGAGACTGCCACCAGGCCCTTTTACTTGGAAGCCCTGGCAATTCACAGCTCTCAGAGAGGAGCCACTTCCAGTCCAGTGTCCCTGATATGGCTCCACCCAAACCCTTTCTTTGGCAGCCACGTGGCTAGCCTGCTGCCAAAGAGGCCCAAAGTTTGGTCAGGACAACTCACCTTGGAAACGAGGGTGAGCCAGGTGGGGATGTAGCTCTGACAGAGCCCTTGCCCAGCATGTGTAAGCCAGCACCACCACCCCCAAAAAAGTAGGGGTTTCACTGACCCCTTTCCCAGCTGCTCAGCCCCACCTCTAGCTGCCGTCCCCTTCCCAGATCACCAGGGCTCTGGCCTGAACTGCTCCCCCCCTAGCCACTTTTTAATGGTCCCTGCATGGAGGAGGGCAGAGAGAGGACCCCTTTCCTCCCAGCCCTAGGGTGCACTTGCCAGTGGCCTCCCAGGAACCAGTGTGCTCTGCCGGGAGGCCCTGAGCCCAGTTGACAGAGCCCAGCCCTCTCCTCCCATTCCACACCACCCACACCAGAGGCTCCCTACAGCCCGAGAGCGGCCCAGGTTCATGGGTTTCTACAAGTTTCCCCAGCCCAGGCCTCTAATTACAGAAAAGATGAAACTCGCGAAAGGGGAAATCAGCAGCCGGACCTGGTACATCTTCCTGGGGCGGGAAGGGAGCAGAGCGTTCATGGAGACGCCTCTGGGCCAGGACTGCAGGCCCCTGACCAGGCAGTAGCTGTGGGCCCCATCCTGGTGGGGGGGGGGGGGCGCAGTTGGGTGTAGAGGTGGGGAACAGGGAAGAGGAGAGTCAGGCTTCAAGGACTAGAAGCCTGACCTTCCCCCAGAAGCCCTGAGCAGTCTCTCTCCTCCTGCTGTAAGCTATTTGTAGTCAGACAGGTGATGAAAGAATGCTGGGCAGTGGTGGGAGCCAAGGCCAGTCAAGTTCCATTTCGACAGGACAATGATGAAGCATGGCAAGAATTCCAGTGGAGAATACAAATATATTTTGGAAGCTGCCTGTGTGCTCGCGGGTGAAGAGCCAGCACAGAGGCCCCCACACCCACCCAGCCTGCCCACCTCCCTGCCCAGCTGGCTTCCCCATCTGTCCACAGAACGCACCCCCCCAGCTTCTGTCTTCCTAGGGCTTCGGGACAAAGGTCCAGAGGGGTCTCCAGGGGGATAAAGGGGAAGTACTGCCAGGTGGGTGCAGTGTCAGGCCTGAGGCAGCAGCCTGTTACTTCCAAACTGTGCCTCACGGCTTCCTCTGGGGACATGGGAGTGTGGTGTGCAGAAAGGTGTTCAAGGTGACCCTGGCAGAGTGGACCCAGAGGCTGGAGTGCGGGACTCTGGAGAGGTGTAGGGAACCCACAGTCCTGAGCCTGCCCCTCCCTGTCCATCCCAGACCTACTCAACTCCACAGTGCCTGAGAAAATGAGATGGCAGGAGGGCTGGGTGCCAGGGACAGTGGAAGATGGAGGGTGGGGGTGAGGACAGGGAGGGAGGGAGGGGACTGCTTGTTGGCATCTCCTCTGAAGCCCCACTGCCCTCCCTGCCCCCAGCCCCACTACAATCAGAAAGGAGTTCCAAAGAGGCATGGCCCACAGGACGCAGGAGGTTCTGGGAGGGGCAGGTGGCCCAGCAGCCTCAACGGCCCTCACTACTTCGGCTGGGCCTATCGCCACAGCCCAGCAGCTCCAGGCGCAGCGTGATGCGGTTGTGCCAGGCCACAGGCAGGATGCGCACATAGCGGGCAAAGATAGATGTCTCAAACATATTCTTCTTGTGAGAGTTGTTATCCAAGTTTCCAGGGAAGACCTGGAGGCAGAGGGGGTGTCAGGAGTGCCCCAGAGTCAGCCTCCCTCCCCACGGTGCCCTGGGAATAGTGAGGGGAAGGCCCTGGACAGATACCCACCTTGCTGTCCGCAGCCCCTTGCTCCTTGTACTCGGTCCAGTTCACACCATCGTTACTATAGGCCACCTTGTAAGCTGCCACGTACTGGATGTGGCCAAAGTCACGGGCCCCCTGGGTGATGATGCCTGTCACCTCTTTCTGGGAACCTAGGTCAACCTACAGGGAAAACCACGCACATTTTCTTGGCTTGCACCATCTCCAGGAAGGTGGAAAGAGGCAGGTGCACTGGGGCATGATTTGTTTGGGGAAAGCTACTTTCCTTGGCCAAGCCTCAGCTTCCTCATCTATAAAATGGGCACACATAATACCACCCATGGTGCTGGGCACTTCACTTCAATAAAGCTAGGGCCTGGCTAACTCTACAGCAATCCCTGCCAAGGCAGGCAGCCCTTCCTGGAACCCGACTCCTGGCCAGCTCCTTGGATCCAGAGACAGACACCTGCCCCCATCTCTCACCACTGTGGGGAAACTGCCCCTGGAGAGACGTCCCAAGATCAAGGTTGCAAAGGAAACTCACTGCCACCCAGCACAAGCCCCAGCAGATCCTCATCCTGCCAGGACTCAGTTTCCCCATTTCTAACACAAGCTCTGGTTCTCCATCACTCAATATGTCTCAGTTACATAAGTCAGAGCACATCTGTTCTGTGTGCATATGGAAAGGTCCCAGGACACGGGGCGGGGGGGGGGGGTCCCCTCCTCCATCCTGCCCTACTGTTTGCCCACAGGTGGCTCTACCCTACACACACGCACCCTCTCTCCACCAGGGGGCCTTCGTGGAAGCAGGAGCACAAGAAAGGTGGGGCGTATTGGGAGGAAGAAAAAGAAAAGTCAAAGACAAACAAGGCTTTGCAGAGAGTCTCTTGGGGAGCACAGGCCTGGGCTGGGTGGAGACCTGGCAGCCCCACCTGATCCCACCAGACCAGCCTGCAGCCCAGGAGGGGCCGGACCCACCTGCAGCCACTCAGAGGCATCGTTGGTCTGGGCGGTCCAGGCGTTGAACTTGCCCTGCCTGTCCAGCCGCCCGTAGAAGGGGTACCAGCCGAAGGCACGCAGGCCCCAGGTCTTAAAGCTGCTGGAGGCTGTGATCTGCTTGTCGGGGATGGTGTTGTCCTTCAGGCCCAGAGGTTCAGAGCATCCTGCCAGCAAGCAGACAGGGGGCTGTCACCTGGATCTGGGATCCGCAGCTCCCCAGGGCATGAGCACAAGGCAATGAAGGGGAAGAACCACAGACCCCGATGTGCCCCTGGCAGTCTTTCTTTTCTTTTTTTGTTTTTGTTTTTTTGGAGACAGGGTCTCACTATGTTGCCCAGGCTGGTCTTGAACTCCTGCCTCAGCCTCCTAAGCAGCCGGGACATGGGAATGCACCTCCACACCAGCCTTGGTATCCTGACAACAGAAAAAAGTTCCACCTGTCTTCAGGGACAACTGCTGTACTTGTCATTGCCTGCTTAGCTCTCTTCTCACCTCGGCTGGTCTTAGCTCCACCCCAACATCACCCAAGACGTCCCCGCGGCCACGGCTCTTCTCCTTTGGCAGGCTCAGCTCCACCTTCAGACCGGACTAGAAAGACACCTCCTCCAAGAAGCCTGCCCTGACCACCTCACTGACATCTCCCTCCTCCTTCCTCCGGCACTCCCCCTTCCTCTGCATGCCTGCTGGCCACACTACTGATTCTGGGACTATCATCCAAAACATTAACCACCACCATGCCATTTACCCAGTGCTTTCTTCAGTCCTTCACTTACTTCAGCCACAGAAAAACCTTAAAGAAGTAGATATCAGCAACCCCATTCTACAGATGAGAAAATCAAGGCTAAGAAACATTAAGCATTGTGCCCAAGTCATACACACACAGACTCCTATCCACCATGCCCCCTGCCAGACCCAACCAAGGCCTGCGTGGTGGCAGCTCCATGATGCGCAGGACAATAGTCCCGCCCTCCAGCAGGTGGAAAATAGAAAAGTCAGAGAATCTCCGGTGTTCAGGGATGTTCCTGTACCTTCTCCAGCAGCACCTTGTCTAATTTCTACCATAGGGCCTTTGCACACTCAAATGTTTTTGGGATGCTGTCACATAGCCCTGGGAGGGCTGGCCTAAGAAGGTGGCCTTTGCTGCACCCCGACCCACCCCAAACACCCAGGAATGTGCTGGAATATTTTGCATTCACATCTGCACCTGCGCCTGGCCAGAACAATTGGGGATGGGCAAGAGATAAAACTCTCCAAAGAATGATGGGTGTCTCTCACACCTGGTGGGGTCCCTGCCCCACAACTGCCTGTCCCTTGGAGGAATTGGGAGGTGGGGGTAGGAGGCATGGACAGCCATCTGGGACACACCTCCTCTGGCCATCCCTGGATGCCTACATCCTGGCCACTTGAGACATCTGCCTCCCAGATGCCCTGAGGAGCCTGCCAATTGTACCATCACCTCGTGAGGTCAGTGCTGTGCTCCTGGGCTGGCAGCTGGCTAGTCTGTTGTGTCCAGAACAGAGGACCCTTGGGAAGGCTACAGCCTGGGGTAGTTTTGCGGAGGACACCAATTCTGCATCATTTGCTCAAGGCAAGACCGTGCACAGACCACCTGTTTCTAGAAGGCCACGCTCATCTCCCTCTGGGCCTCCCCAGACTTCTAGGGAAAATGCAGGCGGGGGGGTACCAGGGCAAGAGCCATCATTCACTAGGTGACCCCAAGATGTCTCTTCCCTTCTCTAGGCCTCAATGTCCTCATCTGCAAAATGAGGTATTAAAGTAGTACTTCTCACTGGGCGCGGTGGCACACACCTATAAACCCAGCAGCTCTGGACACTGAGGCAGGAGGATCACAAGTTCAAAGCCAGCCTCAGCAACTTAGCAAGGCCCTGAGCTACTTAGTGAGACCCTGTCTCAAAAGTAAAAATTAAAAATAAAAAAAAAAGGTTGGGGATGCGGCTTAGTGGTTGAGCATCCCTGGGTTCAATGCCCAGTACCAAACGATAAATAAAGTTCTATTTCTCACAGGTCATCTGGGGATCTTGTTAAGATAAAGATTCTGTATCAGCAGGCCTAGGGCAGGGCTGGAAGTCTGCGTGTGTAGGATGCTCCTAGGTGACACTGATATTGCTGGTCCATGGAGCTCCATGCCCACCAAGCCACCACTCATTCTCTAGCCAGGCTCCAGTCCCACAGGCCTTCATCTATCTTTCAATGCACCCCAGGGCCTTTGCACTTGTCATTCTAATGCCTGGAAAGCTCCTTCCATGCTTCCCAGTGACTGCCTTTCCATCACTCAAGCTTCTACTCAAAGGCCATGCCCCACAGCAGATACTGTGCTGCCCGCTCCCATCACCCTCCACCATTTCCTTCAGAATTCTTTCTGCTATCTGATCTTTCTTTATTTGTTCCTTGTCTCCAATCTGACTCCCTCATAAGAATGCAAGTTCCATGAGGTCAAGGGTCTCACTCATATTGTTTCCTAGAGTCAGATATTCAGGGGGAGCTTAGAAAATTTCTTGAGTTAAATGGTTAATCAGTTCACCAGGGAGATGGCACCTGCCTGCAAAGGCCAATCCTAGTGCAGGGCACTAGTACCCTTGTGGATTCCTGGGGAACATGCAGAGCTTAGCGCCACCTGTACACACACACACACACACACACACACAGATATATGCACATGCACACTAATACTCTCTCCAACCAACTGAAATGCCTGCAGGGAGAGAAGCCAGGCCAGACCTTGGGGGAAGCACCCAGGGCAACTTTGCCTCCTCATGTGTGAGGCCTGGCCTCTCCTGGCCCCAAGGGAAAGCCAGCTTTGGTGCCTCACGCATCACAGATCCTCGTTCTTACACCTTCCTTCCTGGGTCAGCATGGGGCCCAAGGGTAAACTTCATCTTTTATTCAGGGCTACCTATAACTGACACAGTGCCTCTGCGCACATTAGGGAAAGACACTCCTTTCTCAAGATACGTTACTATGGCAGCCTTAAGACCAAATCTTTGGCTGGGGATGTGGCTCAAGCAGTAGCGCGCTTGCCTGGCATGAGTGCGGCCCGGGTTCGATCCTCGGCACCACATACAAACAAAGATGTTGTGTCTGCCGAAAACTAAAAAATAAATATTAAAATTCTCTCTCTCTCTCTCTCTTTAAAAAAAAAAAAAAGAACCAAATCTTCAAGTTAAGACTATAAGGAGTGAGGGACTCCAAGGAGAGGAGCACAGACCTGGCTCCATCCTTTACCAGTTGCTCAAATTTCCTTTTAGCAGAAGGCAGTCTCTAACCCCCACTTAAATGAGATGGCTCAAAAATCTGTGACCCTGGGAGAGGGTCATATCACTACAGTTTATCCTTTAAAAAAAAAAAAAAAAGTGGTAGCCAGGTGCAGTGCAGCATACTTGCAATCCCGACAGCAAGGGAGGCTGAGGCAGGAGGACTGCAAGTTGAAGGCCAGCCTCAGCAACTTAGAGACCCTCTGTTCCAACACAAGGCCCAGGGTTCCACCCCCAGTACAGCACAACAAAGAGGAACCCAGCAAATCACAGAACTCAGTTCTGAGAAGTACTAGATGGTATCTAAAATGAGATAACAGGAAGAAGTACACAGAGAGGGAATGCAGGGCACAGGAGGGCAGGTCCTTCGTAAGGCAAAGAGCCACCTCTCAGCTCTATGGCTCTGCCTAGTGAGCTCTACAGTTCCACTGGTGACCAGAAGGTGGCACTGTGGCTGCAAAGACCTCAAGAAAGCTGAACTGAGCTGGGCTGAGACAGCACCCATCAGCTCAAGCCAGGCACCCAGACCTCTCCAATGGGGAGTTTCTCCTGGCTTATCAGAAATCTGTTCCTTTCTGGTCCCCATCTTTCCATCTGGGAATCTGGAGAGGGCAGCAGAAAGCATCCACACCCTACCATCCTGGAAGCCCCCGTGTTTCCCTTGAATGCAGACTATAGGAAGTTGCAGTAAAAGCACTGGACAGGTAGGATCAGAAGCCCAGGGCTCTATACCCAGCTTTATACCTCCCAACTGTGTACTCTTAATAAATCATTTATCTAGGTCTCACTTCCCTCATTCATTCATTCACTCACTTATCAAATATTTATCAGGCACCAGAAATACATCAAGGAACAAAGCAGACATTCTCTGGAAGTAACATCTGCAAAACAGAACTAATGCTATATATTCTAGGAGCTCAAGGAAACAACCAGAGTAAATGAAACTACTCTGAAAACTGAAAGGACGCTTTTTTCTTCAGTACGTGGAATGCCACAGGCATAGGTTGGCGGACAGTTAAAACCTGGGCTGATGCCTCTGGCATGTATGTCCTATGTGAGCTCAGGTCCCTAGGACTTGCTATTGCCACTACCCAGCTTAAGAAAAGAGGGGACAGGAAAGGCCACCTCCAGAACTCACCATGGTCCCCAGCACTCACCATTCAACTCACAGCCAAGGAGCTCAAAGCGGAGGGTGCAGCCCCGGCGGCAGGACACAGGAAACAGCCTCACATACTGTGCCTCCAGGGGCGAGCTGAACACGTTGATCTTCAGGCCGCTATTGTCCACATTTCCCTCAAACACCTAGGAGGGAGGGGATCAGTGTGAGTGGCCCCCCTTCCTGGACTTCCACACCCTCCTCTTTAGGCCTGGTAGGTAGACAGAGGGTTGGGAGAGCAGGCAGGGGCTGGGAGAGCAGGCAGGGGCTCAGAGAGCAGCGCTTCCTTTGACCACCCCACAGCCCTCAGCAGATTCTTGTTCTTACACCTTCCTTCCTATGTCACCATGGGGCCCAAGCATAAACCTCCATCTTTTATTCAGGGCTACCTGTAACTGTTAGAGTGCCTCTGTGCACATTAGGAAAAGACACTCCTTTCTCAAGATACATTATTATGACAATTTTCTATAGACAAAAGTATACAAGCATTCAATATAAGTATTTTAAATAGTACCTGCTTAGTAATGACCTCCTTGAGCAGTCAGTATACAACCTGCACAGCTATACATTGTATCTCCGAAGGTTCAGAATGAAACCCACCTCAACCACCACTACCACAACAAGTCATTGCACTACTTTAAGCCTCTCTATTCTCATCTAAAAAGGGGGGCTATTACTTGTAATCACACAACATGGTCACAATCTGTCTTTATCAGTTTTTTTAGGAGAGCAGGGATTGAACCCAGGGGCACTCAACCACTAAGCCATATCCCCAGCCCTGTTTTGTATTTTATTCAGAGACAGGGTTTCGCTGAGATGCTTAGGGCCTCACTAAGTTGCTGAGGCTAGCTTTGAACTCACAATCCTCCTGCCTCAGCCTCCCAAGCTGCTGAGATTACAGGCGTGCGCCCCGCTCTGACTTTACCAGTTTCTAAAAACCAAGGCTCACCTCATGGCTAATCACCCAAGGTACTCTTGTCTCTCTGGGGCCCTCGGCCTGGGCTAGAAACCTACCAGGTGCTGACCTTAACCCCAGCAGGCCCACCTTGTCTCCAGACCGCTGTTCATCCTGGATGAACTGGAACTTGAGTCCATCAAGGCTGTAGGCCACCTTGAAGGTCTTCAGGTACTCGGCGTAACCTGCCCGGCTGGCACCCTGTGTCACCACACCTGTCACCCGCATCTTCCGAAGCAGGTTCACCTGCACCCAGGGAAAGAAGGATAGTACCCTCATCTCCCAGGGTCTTTCTACCTGGGATTCAGGCTGGCACAGCTCTTTATCACCCACCCAGTGGAGGACAACCCAAGCAGAACACAGGACGGGCAGCTGAGGAGTAGCTCTAGTGGGGGGTTTGCTCCTCGGGCCCTCTAGACCAGGGCTGGGGAAAGCACAGGAGGCCCCCAGAGGCCTCATGTAGAGCAAACAACCCCTCCATAACCAGGACCTGCTCCCTACTTATCCCAACCATCTACCCCAGGCCCCAAGGTTTCCCTACCATTACAGATAGTTCACCAATGGAAACCTGTCACCTTGTTGCCTGGACCCCAGGAATGAGCTCCCCAGATGCAAACCCTCCATCTCACCTTCTCTCTTCACCCTGCCCAGGTCAGCATCTTCTCCATACCTGGATCCAGGGCTTCCTGTCATAGTTGCTGGCTGTCCAGGCGTTGACGATGCCCGTGCGGTGCAGGCGGGCCAGCTCCGGGGCCCAGCGCTGCAAACCCATGAAGCCCAAGTGCACAGAAGAGGCGGAGACCTGGAAGTCAGCGATGGCACCCTCCTCCATGCCCAGAGGCTTGGCACAGCCTGCAGGAAGGGACAGGACAGTGAGGGGGGGGCCACCCCAGCAGGTCCCAGGGCCCAGCTGGGACCAAAGGACAAGAAAGTAAGACAGTGTGACCTCTGCTGCACAGCCAGAGCCAGAGCCAACCTCAGACCCTCACTCAGAGCAGAGACCACAAAGGGACAATGAGGGCAGAGTGCCAGGAACAGGTACAGAGGAAAGGTGCCTGGGAGGCGCAGCGAGGAAGAGAGGGGCCAGGCCGGGACCGCCATGACCCGCAGCTGCAGTCTCCCTCCAGGCTGCGGTGGGTCTTGTTCTTACAGGGAATTGGGCAGCAACTCTTCTGAAGTGCCACGAGGACTGGTGGGAGAAAATACAGTATGAGCTCCTCTTTTTCAGCATGCCCCGCCCAGCCCCTGGCTTCCCCAGCAGGGTGGCTTCAGGAGAAGGGGTACCTCGGACAGTAGCGAACAATACACACACCACACACAAAGCAATGAGCAAATCTGCCCAGAGTTTTCTAGAATCCCACTGGCAGGAGCTTTGTGGGTGGGGCAAAACGTCACCCTCTTTTCCCTTTAGCGTTTACACCTTCTGCCTGTGAGTCCTCAGCCATCTGTGAACACATCCCTGCCTAGGGCCCCATCACCTACATTGTTACCCCAGCAACATGGTACCAGGGACCCAGGACAGCTACCAACCCTACACTCACACACACCCCCATCTCCCCACCAGTCTGGGACTCTCAACCCCAGAGATGTACAGTACTTCCAGCTGCCAAGCAAAGGACCCAGGACAAATCTACTCTGTCCCCCCACCCACGCTAGGGATTGAACCCAGAGGTGCTCTACCACTGAGCTATACCCCCAACCCTTTTCATTCTTTATTTTGAGACAGGACCTTGCTAAATTACTGAGGCTGGCCTTGAACTTATGATCCTCCTGCCTCAGCCTCCTGAGTCACTGGGATTACAGCCACGCACTACCGCACCCAGTCTGATACCTCTTAATCCAACATCCCAGGCTCATGCTCATGCTGAGCTTGGTACTATCACACTCACAAGGAAGGTGAAGTGCCAAGTGGGGCCAGATGCCTAAGATCCAGGCTAAACAGTGGATCTTAGTGGCTATACAGAGATATGACCCCAGGTGGGCCTCCAGGGCGATCCTGACACCCCACAGTGTCCACACCAAGGGACCCAAATGTGGGGATCTCTATGTGGGCATCGAGGAAAGAGACCACACAACAAACAAGGAGGGGCTGCAAAATCCCTCTGGGGGGTCCCCTGCCTGTGTGGTTACCTCCTGCCTTCTACACCAGGTGCTGCCATATCCAGCCCCTGGCTGAGAAGCTGAAAGAAGGCTAGGTGGGTAATTCCCACTCAGGCACACCCATGGTTACCTCGGCTCCCAGGACGGTAATTAGTGGCCCACCTGGCCCCACCCAGGGCTCATCTTCCTTGGCGACCTCCCCTACCCACACACACATCCTTCCACCCAGGACCTCAAATATATCTGGCCTCAGTGCACAGCCCAAGGCACGGGCCCTCAGCACGGCCTCCTCTGAAGTGAAGGGCATCCTGGCACTTTGCCTGCTTTTCGTCAGGGACCCAGCCTCATTTCTTCTGGAGGTCAGCAAGCCTCAGAGCCCACCCCAACATCTACTTGAAGGAGGACCAGTCACTGTTCTGCCCCCAGCCCAAGATGTTTAGCAAATGACCTGCTAGAACGTGGGACCCCCACTCTACCCAACCCTAAGTTCAAATATGGACCCATCCACCCCACAGAGGGCAAGAAAGGGTCCTGGTGTGACTGGGGCCCAGGGAGGGAGGGACTCCCAGTAGGCATGGAAAACTATTTCCAGCAATGCCACTGTGGCCATGTGGATAACAGAGTAGGTCAAACTGGGTCAGCCCCTCTGCACACGCCAGGCCTCTGGCCATCACACCATGAGAGAATGACCCAGCCTCCCCCTCCTCCCCTCCATGAGGAAGCCTTAGATCAAACTTGGACCAAGCGTGATTTACTAAGCTCCTGGGCCCCTAAAAATTAAGAATGTGTTTGTTTTCCCTTAATGGCAGAAAAATCCCAAGACTTAATTCTAACACTGTGTGTCCGGTTTGTGGTGACTCGGGAAACAGCACTCCCATGACCTCTGGGGTCACCACAACCCCTGCCTCCCCTGCAGCAAGGTCAGGCCTGGCTGGCAGTCTAAGAGAACAGAAAGAAGCCCGGGGAGGAAAGCAGGGCCCTTTATCGCCTTGGCCTGAGATGCTCTCCCTCCCCTCAGTCTCCCCAAAGGCATCCTTGCCTCAGGGAATCAGGCCAGATTATAGCCTGTGGCACAGGACAGGGTCTGCCTCAGAAGCAGGCACTCAGAGAACTCACTGGTCTCACAGTGGACGCCCACGTAGCCCTGCGGGCACACGCAAATGTACTGGGTGAAGACATCCCCTCGGTGCGCATCGCCAATCACCTGGCACTCAGCATTGTGGTAACATGGGTTTGGGGAACAAGGACCTGGAATAGATAAGATGGGCAGGTGATCAGTGAGGAGCTGGGGACATACAGGAAGCAGCAAACAGTCCAAGCCCAAAAGGACACTCTACCCAAATTCAGCCTACTACCACCTCCTTCTCTTTTCCCCCAATCTGCCTGACGGAGTTAGCTTGGAACCAAGGAGGTTCCAAATAAGGTAAGCATCCAGCTTTCCTTATGACCTGGAAGTTCCCAGGGCAATGCTAGGTGTCATCAGGAGAGGCACTGGAGACCCCTGCCTACTTGGGGAAGAGCTATGGGCTAGGGTGGAAAAGCAGGCCCTTGCAGGCAGGTACCTCTCTCTGTCTCGTTGCAAATGAGGCCTGTGAAGCCCTCAGGGCAGAGGCAGTAGAAGAGGGCGTTGTCCTGGCCCATCAAGCAGGTCCCACCATTCAGGCACAGGCTGGAGTCGCAGAAGTCACCTACAATGGCAGTCCCTACTTAATCATTCCATTAATGTTTGGAGGGTCAACTACTATGAACATGTGAGGCCCCTGAAACAGGAAAGCCAGATGCAGCCCAGTCCTTGAGAAGCCAGTGGAGAAAAGGAAGGCCAGTCAACAGATGATAAACAAGTGCCACACACTAGCAGAAAAGTGCACAGGGGCCACCAGAGTCTGATTTCTTCCAGGGAGATGTAAGTTTTACAAATGAGGGGACATTTGAGCTGGGTCTAAAAGACAGAATGAGAAGGTCTCAACCTGGGAAATGACAGAAGAACATTCTAGAAAAGCAGAAGCACTGAGGGCATGCTGTGTTGGAGAATAGTAACATGTATCTGAAAGGGTAGTTTGGGCCAGACCAGGAAAGATCTTAAGAATGACAAGTTTAGGAGGACACGGTGGCACACGCCAATAATCCCAGCTACTCAGTAGATTAAGGCAGGAGAACAGAAAGTTCAAGGCCAGCCATAGCATCTTAACGGAGACCCTCTCTCAAAAGCAAATAAAAAGGGCAAGGGAAGTAGTTCAGCAGTATAGCACTTGCCTAGCATGTGGCAGGCCCTGAGTTCCATGCCCAGTACCACCAAAAAAAGAAAAAAAAAAAAAAAAGATTGCAAGTTTAGATTTTGCATCCTGCCAATTAGTAGCTTCTAACTTTCCTTCAGTCTCCACAGCATTGTCCAACAGGAACACACACTTTCTCAAGTGTGAGGTAGGATGGGGAAACCAGTTTTAATCCTTGGAAGAAGGTTGAAAAATCCCACCTTCAGAAACACGGACAGGGTCACCTGAGATGGGGAGAGTTTGGTGGCTGCAGACAGATCCCTCTGGATGAATGGTGAGGGAGGAAGTCAGATCAAAAGAGTGAGGGGCAAGGATGGATTTGAGAGACACTGTGGAGCAAGAGTTTTTAAAGGTAGGAGGAAGGCTGGAGAGGCCATTATGGCTTTTGGATGGGGCCCTGGGTGACAGATGTGCATTATCAGTTCAGATGAAGAACACAGGAGAAGGGGGGAAGGGGGAGGAAGAGGAGGAGAAGGAAAAGAAAGAGAAATCGGCAGCAGCTATCTTGAGATAGGCACCTGGGTTTGTGGTCTGTAGGACTGTATGTAGGGCAGTGCTCAAATCCTGCTCCTATTCCCACACCCGGAAAGGAGCCCATTGAAAGCAGGGTTCTTGGCCCACTCCCTTGGAAGCCCTCCTTACTCCAGCACATCCTCAGTCTCTTGGCTCTGATGTCAACCAGTGAACTGCGGCCCTCCTCCAGGGTTAGCTGGCCCTAACCAGGGTCCTCTAAGGACGGTAGAATCCCAGAGGGCCTTCTCAAGACCGCACACCCAAACCTGCTATTTGGCTAAAACAGGAGAACGCCCCCCCCCCATAGTCACCCACCCCAGAATAAAGGGTCTTTCTGACATCTCAAAGCCCCAGGGAGCTCAGGCTTGCCCAGCTCCTCAGGCAACACCATTAATGAACACAGCCCTCAGCGCTCCACCTCACAGGGGCCTGGGGAGCTTAAGGCGGCTCCCAAAGAGCTATTAGTCATTGGCTTTAAATAGCAGGTTAATCCCCTCCTCTGACCTGGCAGGCCACAGGCAAGCCTCACACAGAGGCTCCAGAAGCTGGGAATGGCCAAGACCTGGGCTCCCCCAACCCAACAGGGACTTCTTTCCTCCTTCCCTAGGGCACCTTCCCCCTATACTACTGGGGGGAGGGGTTAAACAGTGGTATAGGGATGGGGGAGGGAGGGTGTCCTTTACCGGGCCAAGCATTAGACTGTCTGGAGCAGAGTAACCTGCACAAGGTAGAGGAGGTGAGTCCCCTCCTCATGCGGGGGGCGAGGGGCGGGGGCGAGGGGCAGATCACCCTCTACAAAGCCATTTGGGATTTCAGGATGCAGCTCTTTGGTAAATTTCCACAGGGTCATCTGCTTGGGGAACACTTAATTGGGGGCACAGAGAGGAGGCGGAACCGGCCTTTTAAGACCCACTCATCTTGCCGGGTGGCTGGGAAGGACCAGTTCAGCTTCGGGGAAGGCGGGGGTCCCACCCATTATAGGATGGCAGGGCTGTAGTCTCATTTTTATGAGAAAATGATGGAGGAGCTATCTGAAGAGCTCTTACCCTCACCCTCAGTGGGCACCACTTTTCACAGCGAAGGAGATGAGGCATCCCCAGGAACCGCGTGCCGGAGGCCCAGCTGTCTACTGGGGGCCTCTAAGCGGAGGAGGAGGACCACGGAAGATACAGCACCCGGCCAAGGCCACCGGAGGGAGGGAGTCGGGAGACTCCCCACCAGGAGCCAGCCCTTTCAAAGTTCCTCCCCATTCTCTTGGCCCCCTGCCGGATCCACCTGGAGCCCAGGCGACCGCACCGACTCTCCAGCCCTTCCCTTATCTGACCAGACCCGGACAAGCGGGGGCGCAAAAATCCAAAGAACTGTCCAGCCAGGTGGAAGTTGCCGGGGAAAGTTGGTCGAAGAAAACGCTTCGTTTCAAAAGCGGTGGAAGGATTCGAGAGTCAGCCACAGTTAAAGGTCCTCATTTTACAGACGGGAAAAGAGAGGCCGGACGCAGCGGATTCCTTTGTTATGTGTATGCCGCATCCCTGAGGGCGCAGGGCTGTCACCCGGTGTCCCGCGTCCCCACCCAGCGCGCCACCCTCAATCACTGCCTAAAAGTTCCAGCACGGAGAGCAGCGAGGCCGAGCGCTGCCCACCTCTCCGGCCAGGGCGCAGTTGGAGAAGCCTCCCGGCGCGGGTCCCCCGGGCTTCGCCCAAGTTTGTCAACAGGGAGGCGGAGGGAGGGCGCCGCGGAGAACTTCCGAGAGACGCGGAGAGGAGGGGCGAGCGCGAGAGGGCGGCGCGGGCCACTCACCCGAAGCGGCGAAGAGGCCGGAGGCGCAGAGCAGCGTGCCGCACAGCGCGGCCAGCACGCGGGGGTCCTGCATAGTGTGGGGGCGCGGGCGACGTGCTGGACAGTCGGGACCCGCGAGTTCTCGCTCCTGCTCCTCTGGGACCGGAATAAATCGGGCAGCTCGGCACCGCCCACAGGCCCACGTGCTCCGACCCGCCCGGGGCGGACTCGGGGCGGGGCTTCGTGGCCAGGGAGGGAAGGAGGAGGGTCCTAGGGGTCCCGGCCACCGGCCACCCGCCTCCCGCCGGGGCCACACCCAGCAACCCACTTGGTGGGAGGCGCCAAGTTTCCGGTCCTGAGTGCGCTGGACACTCAGGAGGAATTAAAATGAAAAATAAAAGATTTTTTAGAATTAAGAAGAGATGCTAAAGCTTATTCATAATCACAGAAATGAATTAAAACTACAATGAGTACCGTGTTTCACTTAACAGATTGGCAAGTATCACATTATTATTACCGTGGTGGCTGTGCACTGAGAGTAAAACTTGGTTCAACTTCTCTGTTTGGTAATACCTATCAAAATGACAAGTGCTGACACAATACAAGCTAACAATTCCGCTTATAGGCATTCATCCTACAGAAATTCACAAGTGCAACTGATATATATATATATATTAAAGTATCATGGCAGCATCATCTGAAATAGTAAAAAGACCAAAAAAGGAATTAGCAAACTTTTTTCTGTAAAGATTCCAAATAGAAAATATTTTGGGATTTGTGGGCCATAAGGTCTCCATAGCAACTACTCACCTCTGCCCTTGTCCCAGGAAAGCAGCCATAGACAACACTGAAGGAAATGAGCCTATGTGGCTGCCCAAGAGGCAAAACCAGACTGAAGGAAACTTGCCTGTCACATTGACTTTTTACTGATTCTTTTTTATCATATGCAAATACCCCTTGTTTGGAAAAAAACAATATTTTAATAATAATTTATTCCAGACTAGCAAAATGGGGGAGGGGGATACACACATCTCCCCTACTGGTGTTTGAGACCTAGGTTGAGATGAGCCCACTGGCAGGAGGCTTTTCTTAAAACCATTCTGAAAGGGGAAAAATGTGTGATGAACTCAGTCACAGAAAAAACATTTGATAATATTCCACGACCTTCATGACAGAGCTCTCAACATGGAGGAATACAAGGGAATTTCCTCAGCCTGATTAAAAATATATTTTATATATATATATATATACACATACATACCTCTGAAAAACAGTCAATATCAGATGCAATGGTAAAAAATAATATTTCCTCTAAGATCAGGAACAAGATGAGGATATCTGCTCTCGTCACTTCTATTCAATGCTGAACAGGAGGTTTGAGTCAGGACAACTAGATAAGAACCAGAAAATACATCTTTTTTTTTTTTTTTTTTTTTTTGTGGTTGGGTTCACGGGCACTTGACCACTGAGCCACATCCCCAGCCCTTTTTTTTTTTTTTTTGTATTTTATTTAGAGATAGAGTCTCACTGGGTTGCTTAGTGCCTCACTATTTGGTTAAGACTGACTTCTAACTCCCGATCCTCCTCCCTCAGCCTCCTGAGCCACTGGGATTACAGGTGTGCAACACTGTATCTAGCTCAGTGGAAAGAAGGAAATAAAACTGTCTCTACCTCTATTCACAGATAACATGATATTATATATAGGAAACCCTAAAAAATTCACATGCAGCCCAGCTCAGCGGTGCACACTTGTAATCCCAACTACTGGAGAGGCTGAAACAGGGGGATCATTAGTACAAGGGATGAGGATGTAACTCAGAGGTAGACCACTTGCACAGCATGCACTGAGGCCCTGGGTTCAATCCCCAGCACTGGAAAGAAAAGAAAGAAATAGGAGGATCACTAGTTTAGGGCCAGTCTCAACAACTTAGTGAGATCCTGTTTTAAAATAAAATAAAATGGGCTGGGGATGTAGCTCAGTGGCAGAGAGGCTTACCTAGCATGAGTTGAGGCCCTATATTCAATTTCTAGTACAGAGAGTGTGAGAGAGAAGCATCCCTCTGATAGCACTGGCCCAAGAGGCACTAAGAGGCACATGAACGGACTGCAGGACAAAGTGATACAACAAGATCTACCAAAAAGGCAAGGAAATGCCAGCTTCAGCCTAGAAAGTGGGTCCTAGTCAAATCTAGCTTCTAACTATACCCAGATCTCAAACAGGTTTAGGTCCTCCTACTTAACAATGCTGGAGCACATCAGCAATCAAGTAGACCAATATCATCTCAACTACTCAGTGGGCACCTCCACACCATAGTTGCCAATGCTCCCATTGATGGTGACAAAATAATCAATCAAAATAACCTTCCAAAACACCTAGGTTTTGGAAGACCACAAACATTATTTCCCTCCTAAGGCAATGATTGAAGTTCTTCTCTAGGGTAAATCCTACAAAAATAGGTAGTGACATCACTGCTGAGATTATTTCATCTAATTTTAAAGCAGTACAAAATAGTTTCTCCTAAGTGGGGCATGGAATCCTGTGTTTGTAATCCCAGTGACTCAAGTGGCTGGGCAGGAGGATCGCAAGTTCAAGGCCAGCCTGGGCAACTTAGTGACACCCTGTCTCAAAATTTAAAACTCAAAAGGACAAGGGTTGTAGCTCAGTGGTAGAGCAGCCCTGGGTTCAATCCCCAGTACTATCAAAAACTAATTTAAATACACACACACACACACACACACACACACAAAAGCTATTCATTTCTATGTTTAAGCCAAGATAAAAGGGCAGTGGGGCATAAGAAACTCTATCCAAAGTCCTTGGAACAGAAAGTTCTTGAAGTCAGTGTGAGCACATTCACATGATGGAATTTGAGATTATGACTGTGATAGTTGTTTCTTTCCTTCTACAACTGGAACTTCTATCTTAGGTTGTGTGAAGGTACTGGATCTTCAGCCATTCATGGCCTGAGCATAGATCAACACCTTTGGAAAGGGCTCTCTTGTTTGCTTAAATGGCAAAACCTCCTGAGTCAGACTTCTGGAGGGATTTTGCCAAAGAAGCTCCTGCTCCTTGGCATGGACTGGGCTCATGCACGGGACTTTTCTTTTGTCCTCCCTCTATTCTGCAATTGCAGTTGGATGCTTCTGCTACTTGACTTAGTCCTTTGTCTCTTTGGCCCCTAAGGTCTTTGTGGGTGTGTGGACAGTATCTCTCAGCGCTGGCTTGAAGCTCGAAAATCTCACCACTTTCCTGGATCTGTTTTGTGATCAGAGAGTTCATGATGACACGGGTAGCTTTAGCCTTCACTGCTGGGATCCTGTCCACACTGTCCATGGCCATTGACAGGGTCAAAGCAGGGGAGAATACATTGGTCCCTCCTTCCTCTGCCTTGCGGCAAGATGCTAATCCTTGTGATCTGGAATCAATGGCTTCCAGGGGATGCTACCTATGTCCCCTGGAGGAAGAGTCCTCAAGCGCACCATCATAGGTGTATGAGGTACATCTGATAAGCAGGAACCTCCTGCCTAGAGGCCCACTAGGCTCAAGAACAGGTACTCCTGGTTGTCTTGAAGTCATTGAAAGTCTGTGATCCGAGTGGTTTTCTCCATGTAGAATTTGGAGCTGAGTTCCTGCTACCATAGTTAAATGATGTGACGACCATGCTGACAACAGATGTTAACAAGGAACATTGATTGTCATGCTGCTGCAGATCAGCAAAGCTTCCCAGGAAGAGTCCCCAAAGGTTCTGTTCTTCTACTGTTGTAAAGCTGACAGGGGCCCAAACTCTGGCACTGATGTAGTTCAGAGGATCCACAATTCCTTCGAAGTAGGGGTGCTGTACAGACCCAGCGATACCAGTGACAATAAGGAAGGCATCCAGCACCAACCAGGGAGCACTGGCCTCAATTGTTTTGTGTTGTTGTTATTGTTGTTTGTTTTTTGTGGCCCTGAGGACCAAACCCAGGGCCTCACACTTGCTAGGCAAGCACTCTATCTCTGAACTATATCTCCAGCGCTTTTCATTTTATTTTGAGACAAGGTCTTTCCTTGAGTTTCCCAGGCTAGCCTTGAACTTGTGGTCTTCCTACCTCAGCCATCCTTGTAGCTGGGGTTATATGTGTGCACCACGGTGCCTGGCATTAATTACATTTCAGAATGTTTATTTCTTTTTTTATTCTAATTTGTTACATATGATAGCAGAATGTTTATTTCTAGTATAAGAAATACAACTGGGAGCAGTAACACATGCCTATAATCCCAGTGATTCAGGAAGCTAAGGCAGGAGGATCACAAGTTCAAGGCCAGCCTCAGCAACTTAGACCCTATTTCAAAATGAAAAGGGCTGCAAATGAAGCTCAGAGGAAAAGCACCCCTGGCTTCAATCCCTAGTACCACACACAAACAAAAATTTGAGAGTAAACTTAGCCGGGCACAGTGGTGAACAACTGTACCAGAGACTTTGGAGGTTGAGGCAGAAGGATCACAAGTTCAAGACCAGTCTCAGCGATTTAGTGAAACCTTGTCTCAAAATAAAAAATTAAAATTAAATAATGGCTGGGTCTGAGTATGGTAACACACGCCTATAATCCCAGTGGCTCAGGAGGCTGAAGCAGGAGTATTGCAAGTTCAAAGCCAGCCTCAGCAACTGAGTGAGGCCCTAAGCAATTTAGCAAGACCCATCTCAAATAAAAAATTTAAAAGGGGCCGAGGATGAGACTGGTTGAGTGCCTCTGGGTTTAACCCCTGGTAGAAGGAAGGAAGGAAGGAAGGAAGGAAGGAAGGAAGGAAGGAAGGGAGGGAGGGGAGAAGAGATGACTGGGGATGTAGCTTAGTGATTAAAGCACCCCTGGGTTCAATCCCCAGTATCAAAAAAAGTTTTTAACAAAAGAAGTACAAGTCTCATACACTAATAACATCATTGAAAGAAATTAGAGGCCTAAATACTGGAAAGGCATCCCCTGTTCATGGGTTGAAGGGCTTGTATTGTTAAGATGACAATGCCTGCCAAATGATGTCAGATTCATTACAGTCCCTATCAAAATTCCACCTGCTTTGTCAGGCATGGCGGCACATGCTTGTAATCCCAGCGGCTCTGGAGGCTAAGGCAGGAGGATTGCGAGTTCAAAGCCAGCCTCAGCAGCTTAGCAAGGCC